AAAGGTATGCCCATTTGAAAAAAGTACACAAGATTTTAAAATGTTCATGAATTTGAAAAAGCACGCGAATTTGGGAAAAGTGCGTGGACAAAAAGGTACGCAGATTTAAAATGTTCATGGATTTCAAAATATACGCAAACTTGAGCCAACGCCAGTTGAAACGGGGTAAGACAACACACAAAACGGTCAAAATCGAAACTAGGGACGAACCTTGTCTGGTTTCAATTGTCAAGGGTGCAAGGTTTTTTTTTTGAATGAAGGGTGCAAGTTGTCCTGTTTTAAAGTTCAGAGATTAAATCTAACTCTGACAAGAATTGAGGGACTCTCTCTTTTATGCAGGTGAAAGTGTCTCTCAACTGATGACAAGCAGCCACTACTCGACGTGGAGCGTCCGTCGCCTGGTTGCAGTTGCACCAGCGCGCGGAGCGGCCGACATCACAGGCAGCTCTTTGCTGTACTTTCATCCCCCTTGGCGGGCCCGGCAAATGATCCACCGCGAGAACATTTCAGCCACGAAGGCAAGACGAAACCCACCACTAGAAGAGCTCTAGAAGAGAGATCAAGCAATAGCACACTCGGTCACTCACTCCCAGTCTGACCATTGAATACTTTGACCACGACCCACTGACGCCACGCGAGACTGATCGATTAGCTGTGAACTGCGCAGGCCACGTCCGTAGACCACATGCGCAAATTGAGCATATCTGGATTTTGACCGAGCTGGCGTGGAATATTTTTGCCTCTCGTCTCGATATTTTATCATTTATTTCACACCCAAAAATGTCAACCCCCCCACGGGCGCTGACCTCCCGATCGACCGACGCCTATAAATACGCGCCGGCATGCGCACGAACCATTCAGGAACTCCCAGCGCCTCCACCAGTACGTGCGTCCGTCGTCTCGCGAGATCGACGGAGTCCAGCTAAGGCCAGAGATCGACCGGTCTGCCGGCGTGCCTCGCCGGAGAGCGGCGGTACACGCACGCTTCGACCGGCCATTGTGATGGACCAGCGGGCGGCCTGCGGCGGCGAGGGAGGGGGCGGCCTGCGGCGGCGCCCGTACAAGGGCGTGAGGCGGCGGCAGTGGGGGAAGTGGGTGTCGGAGATCCGGGTGCCCGGGACGCGGGAGCGCCTGTGGCTCGGCTCCTACGCCACCGCCGAGGCGGCCGCCGTCGCGCACGACGCCGCTGTCTGCCTCCTCCGCGGCGGCGCCGGCGGCCTCAACTTCCCGGGCCGCGCGGCCGCCTACGGCCGCGTCCTCCACCACGGCGGCGCGGGCCAGCAGCTGTCCCCACGGTCGGTGCAGCGCGTGGCGTCCGACGCCGGCATGGCCGCCGACGCGCAGCTCGTGGAGCTGCGCGAGCGTGTTCCCGCGCCGCCCGGCCAGGAGACGGCGCCGGACGGTGGCATTGGCGCAGTGCATGGTGGTGCGGGTGCCGGAGAGCAAGTGGCCTACGGTGGTACGAGGAGCTGCAGCCCCGGCGGCGAGCAGCTTGTCTATGGGGAGCTGAGTGTGGACGACATAGAGATCGTGACCATGTTGCAGTCATTGTAGTTGTAGATCGTCAAATTTTGCAGACCAATAGCGCTGTAAAAACAATTTCACCGCTTGAGCAAGATTCAGCAAGTATACGGCTGCTAGTACTGCAGTGGTTCTCCTTTTCGAAATCTGGTGACATGCACTTTACGTTTTAGCTCTACGTTTTAATCTTCTTCTTTTTTTTCTGCATCGACTTTATTTTTATCTGAGATGGAGACCATACTAATACATCAAGATGATATATGACATATATATTCCGATTCTACAACTCAATGACGTCAATTTTTTTGCTAAGATCAGAGAATGCATATAAACAAAATTAAAAAAAAAAGATGAATTGGCATCTGTTGTAAACATCAGCTCCCAACAACGATCTTCAACTTCATTGCCGACGCCTTTGACAAAACCCGGAATTGGAAGATTGGTCCTCCCAAAGGGCGTGGCTACAGGTAAGTCGCCTGGAATTTAAAATTGAGCCAGTCGATTTGGGGGAATCAATTTGAGCTATTGTGATGCTCGCGTCTTCTTCCTCTTGGAAACAGATCCCGCCGCCTGCTACCACTGGCCGGGACGCCTGCCACCGCCTCACCGCACCGCCCTCCCCTGAAGCTTCCTCACGGCCGGTCTTGCCGCCACCGACGACCATCCCTCTAAGTTCGATGACCACCCAAAAAAAACTCTGGCGAAGCAGCATCCCCACTCGCCACCCTAAGATAGATAGTGGGGTGCTTCTCCGACGAACTTGCATCCATCCACCACCCTAAGATAGATAGTGGGGGGTTTTCTTCCCCGACGCAGGCGGCCTCCTTCTTCATCTCTGACGCTTCTCTTCTCCCTTCTCAAAATCGACTAACCCAAAATTCGTATGTCAGTCGACTGACATTTAGCTATTGTGCCTCCCAAACAACACATCCAAGAAGAGAATGGCACATGTGTATCCACGTGAGAAAACGGGTTCGAGAAAGCACCAAACACCGTCTTCACCAAGAAAACAATGCATTTGAGCATGCCCCTACGCCCCTAATCCAACTCATGTCTGTCTTGGTCCCGAGCTCCTCGGCCTTGACTAGTTCCTCCACCTCAGCTCATGCTTTCGGCGATAGCCGCTCTGAGTAGAGGCGTACCTAGGTTATACTACCAGGGTGCACAAAACACCGGGCCAAAAAGCATTTTCCTTCATATATTTCATGTATATATGGTATGTGACACTCTCAATTGTATGTGAGACTATGCCATTGGTAGAGTGACATGGGGTAGTTTTCGCTTTAGGTCCGCCCTGGCTCCGAACACATCTGCCCTAGCTCAAGCCCCAATGTCAATTCCCCTCCCGCAATCTCTCACCCCCTCACATCCTTTACGTCATCGAGAAGGTGGAATTGATGCATCGTTGAAGTGGACTTGATGTTTTTGGTGACACTAATCTGCGCATACATTGATTTGTGCAACTGGTTGTTGTTTATAGTTGTAGTTGCTGGAATTTAGGTGTATCTGCTTTTTTTTTGGACATTTTGAAAAATGAAAAGCAGTGTTGTGTTTGACACTTATAAAATCATTGATCCTCGTGTTCCTGTTAACATGATTGCTAGACGGCTTAATGATTGGATTATTTTGCAGAAAAACCAGGGAAAACAAGAAATGCTGAGGTGTGAGTAGGAATGTTGAACTAATAGCAAGTGAGATGTTTCATGCGATTCATGTCTGGCGGATTTGAACGAACAGGATCAAGCAGCGAAGATGTAGTTGTTTTTGGGTGTGGTCTTGTTTCGCCAGTTCTTTTGGTCTCTTTCGGTTGTATTCTGGTCTGTTATATCTGCTGGTCCTGGATGGGTGTTGCGAGGTAGCATTTGAATTTCTGCCTAGAACTTCTTAGGTATTCGTCTCGTGATATTTAGGGTCCAACTTGTGGATGCCCAATATCGAGAGATTTATCAGCTTGCTGTAGGGTTCTCTAGTTTCCTGTTATGTCTCACTTTCTGCTGGTAGTTTGTAAAAAGACGTTGTGGTTTCAGTTATATGAAATCAGAGAGGTAGCTCTCTTTTTTTTTAAAGAAAAAGTTTCTGGAATTTGTATTCAGGGAGTTGCTTGAATTTGCATGCACTTAGCACAACTAGATACGTCCTACCAACACAACAAGTTGTAATGGCATAACTAGCGTGACGAAGCAGGAGAGAGCGGGTGGAGAAGGCGGCCAAAATTTTGATGCTACCGGAGTCGCCTAGGCAGGCTAGAAAGATTTCAGATGACACTTTACGTAGAGCTGGAAGAAAGCTCTCTGCGCTGAAGTGCACTTGCAGTTCTACTTGACCGGAGGAGTGCCCAAGGAAGATCGTTCCTATCATGTGCATGTTACACATGGTCAATGGCGTCAAGACCTGCAAGAAAAGCGCACGATCGGCGTGTCCACGTGATGCGCATCGCCCGTGGCGGTGCGCGCGTCAATGCGTGCATGCACGCACCTCTCTGTTGTTTCAGCTTGATGAAATGATCGCAATCGAAGGTAAAACAGGGACGGAGAGCGATGCGCTCAGTGCTCCAACACGGATGCACATCACTCTCAAAAAAGAAAAAAGAACACGGATGCACATCCCCTACAGACTACAGGGACATGCACTAGAGGATGTGTGGAGGTGGTGCAATTTGTGTGACCTGCTCGGCTGGCTGAGAGGACCTGTGCCAAAGTGTAGCAACTCCAAAGTTGTGAAACCCATGGTTCTATGGATTCCAAAATGTACTGCTCCACCGCCGGCGCCGACGATCTTTCCTCTCCCTGCGATCATTTCGCCGCCGGCTCTGGCGGTCAGCAAGTTCGTGAACCAGATGCAGAGCCACTCGTGAGATGCATGGGTTCAGTGGATTCAGTGGATCACAACAGTTAGACGTAGTAACTTGACCAGACCGTTTGATCTCTGTTGAATGTTGGTCTTACCTTTGGCAGCCAAAAATGACACTGCCTTTTGACCTTCTGTTTGACACGACAGAAGGTTCCGGAAGACAAAAGGTTCTTTCGGGCCGATGAAAAGCAGATTTGGACCGCACGGACAGCGGACAGGGTATATACTAATCTCAAGTCAAAAAAGGACCTGACAAATGCAAGCATGCTAGAGCTTGGCTGCTTGGGCCAAGCTCTTCTGATAACAAGAATTCAGAAACTATACTACTCCAGCTTCAACACTATGCAGAATCTGCTTTCGAGCCGCCTATGCAGCAGTAGCATCTGCAGATTCTTAGCTGTGAATGGAGCATATGGACCATGAAGGAAAAAGTTTCCAGATTTCCAGTGAAAACCTGTTTTCACTGGATACTTCGCCTATGGGCCGACTGTACAAAGCTTATTACAGTACGAACGAGTCATAGCATTTACGCCGTAAACGACTTTCCATTTGAGACGTGTACACTGGTTCCAATTATGTACAGATTGGCAACAACAATAGCTGTGTCGCAATTGCGTGCGGAGCGACACCTACGAACTGTCTTGCTTCGGTTTCTGGCTGAGCTCCGAGTAATGCCCTCCCATCAGCTGCAGTATCTTGGTCCAGAGGCAAGACGGGTCCGTTGACACCGCGTCACTGATCAGCTCCGTGCTACAGGAAGCAACAGCCCAGTATCCCGCCCTGATCTCGCTCAGGAGCTGCTCGTAGTCCCAGGCTGCATGCCCCACGAAGAATCTCAGATCCTCGGTCTTGATCGCACCACTCTTCATCAGAACACCAGCCTTCTCCAGCTCTGTTCGAAAGCCGAAGCAGATGCCTGGTATCACCTCCTCAAACCCCTTCAGACGTGAGCTGTCTTTAGTACGTACCAAGAACATGCTCATGTCGACGGGGCCTCCGAAGAAGAGGGCGCAGTCGCCGAAAGGGGTTGTTTGGTCTTGGAATGATGATGGATTCACATTCTTGATCTTCGTGTAAAGTGGACGGTTTAGGATGACCCCAAATGGGCCATCAAAGGTACCTCTCGACCCAAGTCTGAGCAGGAGAATAACAGTTCTTTCGAAGACGCTGTCGTCATCCAGCACCTCAGTAGCTACCAACACACACCCTGCCTCCGGCATTGTAATAGGGTGAGCCCACTTCTGAGGAAGCTGGTGTGCTGCTTCTCCGAAGGATGCCTTTGACTCTGCAGGAACACTTGGATCTACTAATAGCTCCTGATTCAAGGATTTAAATAGTAAGGCAAAAAAAGAAAAGACGGATATGATATAACCCAAGTTGGTTAGAAGATACTACTTGCTTTGCTTCTCTTTTCTTTTCAGGAACTTTAGTTCTATCCTAATAACAGTGTGAAACTCTCTTGAAGGGTATTTGCAGTAAATGTAACAAGGTTTGAGAAACAGCAGCTTATCTGATGAAATCTTGATACAATATATAACTGCATAAGGTACCAGAGAGGATCCACTTGCGTAATGCCTCTAAAACTTTTGCACAAATATTTTCTTGGAACCTTACATTTGGAGTATCAAGTAATAATGGAAAGCATAGATTTCTAGAATAAGTGATGTTCTAATGCAACGCCTAATTGAAGACACTGTGCATTTATATCTTCTTTGGAACATACTAGCATAGCACTATAGCATTAGCAGCAGCCATAACAGATGTTGGTATTAGTATTGACTATTGACAAAAATTAGATTCATTATACATTATACAGCCAGTGAAACTAGCTAAGATCAACTCACTGTTCTTTATTTTCTTGGCAGATAATGGGTAATGTCATAGGGTGATCATGAATGTCCAGATTACGTAAGTGAATGTCGAATAATAGTTGATTAAGACCTAAAGAAAAGCTGCTAAGAGCTCTACAGATTGTCACTACAAACGTGCCACCCTCACCTGTTCCCGACGCACAAGGTTCGCTCTGACATCTCTCCAGTAATTGCTGTTCGAAATATTAATTGGCTCAGTAGATTTTGATTCATCAGGTGGTTTGTTCAATCCATCGGAGCTATCTCCTGTTGGAACAGATGCATCGCCACTTCCTGCATGAAGAAGCCACGCAAATGAGGCCAAGCCACCCTTCTGGTACACGCTTTTTGCAACAACGCATAAAAATACCACACCATGGATGAACTCTAATTAACATAGCCAATACTAGAGAACCTGAAGTTTCCTCATACACTGTTTACACTTGAAAAGCTCAGCACCTGATGGTGTTTTTCTTTGTGTTTACTTGAAGTAGCCAAGCTATCAAAGAATATGGACGGTATATTGGGGAAGGCCCACCCAAACACCGCAATTCAACACGTAGATCAATTCGACAACTCTAAACACGAAACCACGCCTAGGATGCACAATGGTTCCAAGGTGCACGCACCAGTTACACCAGAATAAACACCGATTCTCCGAATTTCCATCTCTGAAGCCAACAGCATCAGGAACAGTTCGACTGCACATGGGTCAGGGGGAGCTACTCTTCAAATTTTCCTAGCTAGACCCGAATCCCCACCTTTCACTTGTCTGCTAACCTCCCCGGAATCAACAGCAGTCTGCAAAAATGGCACCGATTGTACAGTCGCCTTCAAGCCCCCGACAGCATCAAACCGTGAGGAAAATGTTTCTAGCTTTTCTAAGTCCAATCGCACGAAGGCCACACAATTCCGTCTCTACTTTTGCACCAGCTCGCATCGGAAAACAACAGATGGAGAGGGCCTCACCGAAAGAGGATGCCTTGCTCTCGGCTTCCTCGTCGCCGCCGCCGCCGGCGGCCCCGCCCTCGCCTCTCCTCCCCGACGCGCGCACCGCCACGAGCGGCCTCACCGCCGGGCCGCGCCTCCGCCACGCGGAGCACGGGCCCGCCTTGCCGGTGGCGGCGGCGAAGGGCTTCCCGGCCCGGGCGGCGGGGGCGGGGCGAATCGGCGGGAGGCACGTCCCGCCGGCCTTCGTGTTGAGGGCCCACATGTCCGTGGGAGGGAACGGTGCCACCGCCGTGGGTCGGGGTGGAGATGCGAGTAGCGTGGAACCGCACGAGCGCGAGAGGCTGATCGAGTGGAGTGAATGGATGTTTCTTGGTTCGGAAGGCGGATTTCGTAAGCGTGGAAAGCGACTTTCATCCGCCAAAAAGATATTTTATCTGGCCTGGGTGCATGTCTGCAAGACTACACATCAATGGTGGGCTGGTGGCTGGCTGGACTTTCTTTTTTCATTTATTACCAGAAAACACAGCGCATGGACTTGCTGCCCAAATCCCCATGTTTTTTTTTTGAATTACAGAGCAGAGCTTCCAATTTCATTTCATATTCAAAATTAAATTGATAACACAGTCCTGATGCGACCTCCGATAACAAGAGGTTCAGTAAAATAAACAAACAACACCCAAGCGGCACTTAGTGCAAATGAAACATCTCCAAACAAGCTAGATAGACTCTATCCTCCTATTATTGCAACCAACAACATAATGACATGTAGGAGGACCTGGTTTATCTGAGGCCGGCGCAAAAAATCAAGCCCGGGCGTCGGGCCTAGAAAATCAGGACCAAGCCTGACCAGCACGTGTAAAAGCCCGTTGGGCCACGGGCCGAGCCCCTTCAGTAAATCGCAAAAAACGACAGGCTCGGCCGGCCTTCGGGCTCAAAATCTAGGCCCGGGAGCAACGTCAGGCCGGGCTGGGCTGCCCATGGCCAGGTATACCTACAGGAATCACACCTTTGAATCTACCAAGAATCAGAACCCACGAGTAAAGTTCACTAAACAGAGTTCACAATCCCCGTGACTATCCTTTCCCAAATAAACTCTTTATTTCTCCCCTCCTATTGATTGAAAGTATTTTCGTTGAGTTTATTTGTGTATAGAGTAGAATTTGCCGAATGAGACCCCTTCAACATATGAAATTATCAAAAAAAATTGTGTAAAGATATCGTTGACGAATCAAAACTTCTATGTGTGAACAGCCGTGGAAAGGGTGTACATGGCAATTGCATCTAATGGGTCTTCTTAGTTTCTATTACCCGGGGGTGTTTGTCATGATGGGGGTGGTCTGGCTAAGGGAGAACTGTTGCCTCTTCGGTCTTGTGTTTGTCAAGTTGTAGTAGAAGCCTACGCGCGCTTTGCCGCACCGGTTTCCTCTAAACAGTTTCTCTATAGGTTGTTTACTATGAGATGGGTTTTGTTCGTTCTTTTTTTTTACTTTCACCCCCTTTCACCTATGATTCCGGCGGAGGAAATAGGTGCAATATGGACGAAAATGGATTGACAACGGTTTCTTTTTCAAATCACTACTTAATATGCAAGTAAGACGGTCTGTGTGCCTAGCCATTGTTATTTTTTCATTTTCTAAATATTTTATTGTGACATGAAATATTGCTTTGGGGTCTCAAGGACGCCTCGTCCTGTAACCCCCAATGGGCACTCTTGCATGGTCATCATGAAAAATAGTTATTTTTGCGTTATTTTTGTCATTTTAATGAGTTATATCACAACATTTTGATTCTCAGGATGTTTTTCACATTTTGTGACCGTAGTGTACGGTTACGACATGATATATCACATCCATTAAAGGAAGTGCCATAGCACATCATGGACTCACAACATGATCCAGGGTAATCAAAATGTAAAGTAAGTATAAAAAATGAAAACTATTGACTAGAGCTTATGGGAAAACACCGATTTTAAGCAACTATTGCACTAGACTAATGGGTGCAGGCCAATACTAGAAGCAACTCTTAGGGTGCGAAAATACACAAAAAATGTACGTTGGCCGTTGGGTCTTTGATGAATGCTCCAAATTAGTCACACGAAAGTTGGTGGAAAGACATGATTTTATTTAGGTGTTACATACGTGATGTGTTGAGGTTGATTGTGTTACATACGTGATGTGTTGAGGTTGTAGTTAGTTACTTAGATTTATGACTAATGGCTAGCGGTGATTTTGGTTATGATAGGTGAGTACTTTTCCTATCCTAACTCACTCCCTCCGACGATGTTGTGTTGATTGCTACCTCTTGAGCACTTGCGTTGGTTTTCCCTTGAAGAGGAAAGGGTGATGCAGCAAAGTAGCGTAAGTATTTTCATTAGTTTTTGAGAACCAAGGTATCAATCCAGTAGGAGGCCACGCACGAGTCCCTCGCACCTACACAAACAAATAAATCCTCGCAACCAACGCGATAAGAGGTTGTCAATCCCTACACGGTCACTTACGAGAGTGAGATCTGATAGATATGATAAGATAAGATTTTTGATATTTTTTATGATAAAGATGCAAAGTAAAATAAAAGGCAAAGGAAATAACTAAGTATTGGAAGATTAATATGATGGAAGATACACCCAGGGGCCATAGGTTTCACTAGTGGCTCCTCTAAAAAGCATAAGTATTCATGGTGGGTAAACAAATTATTGTTGAGCAATTGACAGAATTGAGCATAGTTATGAGAATATCTAGGTATGATCATGTATATAGGCATCATGTCCGAGACAAGTAGACCGACTCCTGCCTGCATCTACTACTATTACTCCACACATCGACCGCTATCCAGCATGTATCTAGAGTATTAAGTTCATAAGAACAGAGTAACGCTTTAAGCAAGATGACATGATGTAGAGGGATAAACTCATGCAATATGAAATAAACCCCATCTTGTTATCCTCGATGGCAGCAATACAATACGTGCCTTGCTGCCCCTACTGTCACTTGGAAAGGACACCGCAAGATTGAACCCAAAGCTAAGCACTTCTCCCATTGCAAGAAAGATCAATCTAGTAGGCCAAACCAAACTGATAATTCGAAGAGACTTGCAAAGATAACCAATCATACATAAAAGAATTCAGAGAATATTCAAATATTGTTGATAGATAAACTTGATCATAAACCCACAATTCATCGGTCTCAACAAACACACCGCAAAAGAAGATTACATCGAATAGATCTCCACAAGAGAGAGGGAGAACTTTGTATTGAGATCCAAAAAGAGAGAAGAAGCCATCTAGCTAATAACTATGGACCCGTAGGTCTGAGGTAAACTACTCACACTTCATCGGAGAGGCTATGGTGTTGATGTAGAAGCCCTCCGTGATCGATGCCCCCTCCGGTGGTGTCGTGGATCTAAGAATGACAGTAGAATGGGGGTTAAGTATGAGGAGGCAAGATCCTAGATATGAAGGAGTTGTACACGCGAGTTTTACGAGTTCAGGCCCTTCTCGGAGGAAGTAACAGCCCTACGTCTCGGTGCCCTGAGGCGGTCGACTGGATTATATGTGTGTGTGTGAGTTTACAAAAAGATGCGAACCCTTGTCCCAGAGGAGGGGGTGGCTTATATAGAGTGCGCCAGGACCCCAACTCCCCTCCGTTTCACAGGATTCAATATTCATAAAGGAAAGGCGTTACTGGTAACATCTATAGTAAAGCGTCATAAATGCTCATAATGCTATGGTCTAAGTCCTGACCGTTGCAGAGTGGAGGGTTCCTCATCTTCTGGTGGTCGAGTGTCTTCAAGGTGGTCGAGTGAGTGCATCTCCACGGTCGAGTGGTTGATGGTTTCTCTTCGACTGTTTCTGATTCTTTGTAGAGATGTCCTTGGGGAGGGTAAGTTGGACAGGTCCATGACCCTACCCTAGGTACATAGCTTCATCATTAGCCCCCGAATGGATCAGGGTTTGAGTGAGGAAGTGGTTGAGGACACTTCCGACCCACTCTTTGTGCTATGAATATGCCTTGTCTGGAACAATGAGTTGAGGTGACGGCGTCGACTCCTTTCTCAATCGCCTTGGTCCATTCTTGGTTGTTGTCGAGTGAACTTTCATGGTAAAATTCCGAATGATGATGTAGAGGGTGTTTGTCTTCAGTCTGACAGGTTGTTCTGCTCTCCGCAGATCTCGCGGGATTCGAATTTTGGGAAGTGCGCGAGACGGGCGGAACCGAAGTTATCGGGACGGACTGGGCAAGTCTCCTTGATCCCCACGCCACCTTTTTTGCCACGTACTGCGTGCGCGACTGTTGCGGGATTCGTTTAGATCGCTTGGGTCCACCAGTCAGCCACTCGGTGAAAGGCCTTATAAAAGGTCTCGGGCCAGGCCTCTGCTCCGCGTGCTCCCATTCTCTCTTCTCTTTCCCCCGATCTCTCCGCCACTCTCGCTTCCGCTTCTTCGCCGGACCTCTGTTCGAGCTTGACCCGTCACCATGGGGAAGGAGAAGACGGCGGCGCTGGAACGCGCAAAGAAGGCGACCGCGAAGGCGAAGGGCAAGCGGACCAGCCGGGGCGGATCCTCGTCGAGGTCCGGCCTGCCGGCGGGCTAGATCCAGGGCGACTAGATCTGCTCGGCAATCACGCAGGACAATCTCGACGACCTGGTGGAGGGGGATTGATCCCTCACAAGTCGGCTCGGCTCCCGGGGGACGAAACCGAGCCGCAACCTAGAGAGGGTGAGTGTGTCCTCCTCGCAACCCACATAGATCGCGGATTCTCACTGCCTCCCCACCCTTTCTTCCGGGTTTTTTTGAACTTCTTTGGGGCTCAGCTCCACCATTTCACTCCAAACACCATAGTCTATCTGGCCGCTTTCGTGTCCATGTGTGAAAACTTCTTGGGTTGTCAACCGCACTGGGGGCTTTTCAAACACATCTTCACTTGTCGTTCCCAGTCAGTCAAAAAGGCCAAGTCGAGTGACGAGAGGACGCGGGTGATCCAGATGTGCGGTGGCCTGGGGATCCAGATGAGGAGCAAGAGTACTTTCCCAGCCATGTTCCTTCCTGACTCGGTCCAGGGCTGGCAGTCGACTTGGTTTTACTGCAAAGATCAGCCAACCCCTGGCCAGTCGACTGGACTTCCTCCTTTTTCCTTGGCTCGAGTGGAGAAGCCTGCTCCCCTGAAGGTAGTTCTAGAAGAGAAGGTGCAGGTCAAGGAGCTGGTTGAACGGGTCGTCCAGCTTGTCCGCGACGGAGTGACCGGGATGGATCTGCTGGAGGTCTTTCTCGGTCGACGCATCCAACCTCTTCAGGCGTGCGATCATCCGATGTAGATGTACTCTGGGCTCGAGGATACCACTCGGATCCACCCGGAGGAGGTTAGCGAGGATATCTTGGAGAACTGGTTGAGGGGAATCACTGGCAACAAAGACAACC